CAACACATTCAACAAAATATTTTTCATTTCTTCGGCAACGCTATTATAGAACGTAAATTCAACGTAAGTACTCAAGAAAAATGTTCGGATGAATTATTTATTTGTTTCGACTTTAAAACTGTTGAAAATCAGTGTATAGGCTAGCAGCAAACATAACCATATATCACATGAATTCCGACGCTGTATTTTCGTGTTAATATCAGGAAATGCTCAAGTTGAATAAAGTTTTCTGACTTCATTGAAAAAAAGTTGTATTGTGGTTTTGATTTATGCGATTATTCAGTTTTTGGTTCTGCAAAGCGTACAAATTTTTTTATTTTTCGATGGAATAAAAAGAACTGTTTGGATCTGAATAAAAAGGATGTTCATACAGCATTACAAATGTCAAACTCATTAATGTGTACTCAGAGTAAAATGCAAAGATTTTGGTTTTATTACATATATTCCACAATTATACATTTGTCCTACTCTACCTACTGACCTCCCTGAAAGTTGCTGTTGCATATCCTTTGAAGCTTTAACAAACCTTGTAGTAATAGAAGTTGAGCTCAGGTGAGTTCAGGTTTATTCACCTCACCTAGAGTATGTTAGTGTGTAAAAGATATATTGGCTGAAAAGACGCGAAAATACTCCAGCACATTTTACTCTGACCTATATTCCTACCATTGACTAATTTCTCCATTCATTTCTGTATGTCTTCATAATACTGGAGCGAAAAAACAAACAATCAAACTTCCGACAAATACAGTCTGGAAGTGCGTTTAATCATGGCAAGTTAGATGCTGGAAATTCGCGATTCTGAATTTCACTGGTCCCGGGAAATTCCATACAAATTAAGTCAGAAAACAAACTGCTGACCATATCTTGCTATTTACTGAAAAAAAAAAACAATAGTTGATCTGCTCTGAGTTTTGCATAGTGTTCATCATAATTCTTTTATGTAATGAATAGCAACGGGATGGATCGATAATTTCTTATGACTTACGATAAAGAAATTATTCAAGTTTGACCTACGAGATATTAGTAGAATAAGAGTTATTTTCTGATACACATGCACAAAGGTGACTACAAAAAATATAACTGAGTCTGAATTTTTGAAGTTTTTTATGTACTGAAATTTCCCTCTGTTTAATTACAGCTTCACGCTATGTAAATGGCACCTTACAATGTGATTTTATAGATTACTTCGTTAATGCGTTTCAACTGTCTCGAACGAAGGACACTTTAATAGACCAATGACATAAAAATTTATGTTTCATAGAGCTAATGTTAGTGGTCTGTTTCAGAATTAAATTCTCGATGCAATTTTTTAATAAAACTCAAATAGTACTGCATTTAAATCTGATCATTATGTCCGTGTTACGAAATTCCAAAGTCTTATCTCCAGTTACTGTCATTACAAAGTAGAATATGAAGCTCTAATTTGTATGATACTAGTCACTGAGTTTACATGCAGTACTGAAGTGTAGGTATCAAATCTTGCCTTAATATTAATAGTAAATCATGGAGAATTTTTTCGCTACTTGTAAACTAATGACTTTGGGAAATTTTGTTGGTGTCCATCAGTCAAAATTGTTGGTCAAAAAGATTTAGTTATAAATGATACAAAGTCCTGTAAGATGCACCGCCCTCCGACTGACCTCATACAGCTAAGCAAATAAAGTACATATACACCCAATACAAATTAACAAGCTGAAGAACAAGATCTTCATTGGTAGGGATATCGAGTGGGTGTTTGTTGACTGATAAACCTACAAATGTAATTCTATTTTTGCCAGGTCGAGTAGCGTGTCTTTCTGAAAAGGTAACTGTTGATCACTTAAGCTAAAACTATAATTATTTCAAATCCAGATTTACCGATCATCAGAGAGACTGCATAATGGATCACTGATTTGTAGTTTGTCCAGTCTATAACCTTTCAGTTTCCATATTAAGATAAGTTTGGAACGTTAATAATAATAATAATTTGCTTTATTCCAAAACAGTACTTGTGATACAGAATGGAATTCTCAGCATTTTACTACAGTATTGCATCCAGTTAGCACATTATCAACAAATAAAATTCTACATAGATTAAGGAAATCTCAGTTCATTATGACAACAACATATTGGTATGTCGGTAGCAAAGCCAGAAATTGAACAGAGTGTTTGAAGTTGTTAGAAAAGTAGATGGTAACATATTTACTGGCGTGAGCAGAAGAATGAAACAAAGCAGCACATAACAGAGAAAGAAAAAGAGAGAGAAAAGGAAAAGAAAGAAAGAAAACGTACCTATAAAAGATATGAATTGGAAAGACGAGATCCAGTTGTTCTACTGACTGTTGAATAAGTTATAGGTATCACACCTTATGCTTTCTTTATCGCGCAAAACGCGAGCTAAGTAGGGTATGGTTGGGTTTTTGTACTTACTAGTGCGAGCGTATAGTTTTCTGTATAGGCTTCTGGTTTTCCCTGATGAGATACAAGGGGAGAGTTGTGAATGAAGAGGGTGTTGTGAGTTAGATAAAATGGAGGTCACGAACATGTAAACAGCAGTCTGAACAAAGCCTTTGAAGCTTGAATGACATATTATTCTCTAACCTATCATTGCTTAATTAGTAAAGTCAATCTATTTAAATCTCGCAGTTGTGATTTCTAATTTTCAACATTAGAGTTAATACTTAGTCAAGATATGATTAAAGAATAACCATAAAACTGTTCCACAAGAATACTGGTCCTGCTTATATCCTGTTGGGTCACTAAAGAGGATAAACAGTCAAGAAATGCCCAAATACAGTTTTGATAATTAATGCTTATTCAGTAAGTTGGTGTAACTGCTGAGGGTCAGTTTCTTCTTCTTCAGAAATAGATTACTTCATATAACTATTTCACCAGATAGCAAACATTATGAATGAAGACTCCCTGAAATTTGTCACTAGTAATTAGGTAGTCAGGAATCTGTGTCTGACTTTTGTTTTCCGCATCTTAGATTTCCCCAACAAACCGTAGATTTTAGACAAAGCAATACGAAGACCTAATTTGTCTGAATTGTGTAATGTATTCGCGCAACACATTTCGAACAATCTGATCTGACTACTCATAGGAGTATACACGAAATTAGTTAAGAGTTAAGAAGTAAGAAAATAGACTTAGGTCAAGTTAAAAGGACATACCGAAGGTCAAAATGACAATGAAGGTCACTAAGCCAAATGACAGAAGTAATAGTACATCTACCCTGGTATCAAAGCTAAGTTTACCAAGGAAGGTTTAATGTGATGAACGCATAAAGGTGGTTTAAACTTCCTAATTCCTATGGCTTCCACAAACTTTAGGATACATCCCAAGCATTATTCTCTAGATTGGTTTAAAAGACGTGTAGACATCAATTTTATGTCCTGTTTCTATAATATGTTTTGCAATGAAGGAGCTAGGTCTCTTGTTCTCACCACTGATGGGTCCTGGGGATTGTATTTGCTTTTGAAGCCACTTAGGAATATGCTCTGAAGACATCGATTGTTAATTAATGAGACTGATATTGTTTTGAAAAATGGAAAATGTGTCAACCGAAATCAAGGCCATCATTCTGTCATTAGTTTATTCATGTAACCACCATTCATCAACTGGAATAAGATGGTGTATAACAGCAGATGGCAGTAAGCCCACTTGAATGATTAAAATTTCGTTAGTGTTAATTTAGTTTATCAACATCTTTGTTCATTTCACCTAAAGTATTACTCTCGATTCTTATGGGAAAATAAGGCAAACAAAGAGCTTTTTCAGGTGTTGGGTTGTAGTAATTTGATTGGTTTACAGGATTTCATCATGAGCTGATGTTGGTTAGATAACCATGGGAAAACCTGGGAGTACTGGACAGCTGTTTTGTCAGCCTAGTTTGGGACTCTTCATCAGTACGCACCCAACACCAGGGTCGAACCCAGAACCCTCTGGTTACAAGGTAAGCTGTTATACCATTAAGCCACTGGGCACCGATCCAATGGCAGCCTGTAAATTTTAACTTCTGCCAATTCACGACATAGCGCGGCTCCTATCTAGCCAGTGGCTCAATGATATACGAGCTCGCCTTGTAACCAGAAGGCTCTGGGTTCGAATCCCGGGGGTGCGTACTGATGAAGAGTCCCAAACTAGGAGGAGACAGCTGCCCAGTACTTCCAGGTTTTCCAATGGTTCTCTAACCAGTGTCAGTTCAAGGTGAAACCCTGTAAACCAATCACATACCTACAACCCAACACTTGAATATCAATGAGATGCTCACTGGCGACTGGCCCTATTCAGGTAGGTAGTTACCTGGGGTTTCAGTGGGAAGCCGTGACCAGTTGGGTGCAGCACGTCGAGTGTGAGAACAGATACCCGCCGAAGACATTGGCTGGGGTCGCGCTATGTCGTGATTCGACAGAAGCTGGAATTCATGGGTTGGCCATTGGATCGGGTCCTAGTGGCTTAATGGTCTATGAGCTCGCCTTGTAACGAGAAAGTCCTGGGTTCGACCCCTGGCGTTGGGTGCGTACTGATGAAGAGTCCCAAACTAGGAGGAAACAGATGTTCAGTACTTTCAGGTTTTCCAATGGTTCTTTAATTAATATCAGCTCGTGATGAAATCCTGTAAACAGCTTTTTCCTTGTTCCACCTTCAGTTTTAGTGATAGTATTATTTTCACTTATTTGATATTAATATTGAATCACTGCAGTTACATATTCTAGGCTACATTTCAGCAAGAAAACCTACAAATTCACTCAGAAAAAAAGCTTGAAATACTTAGATATTCTGTGATAATATTCTGAAAAACATCCTTCAACATATCAAATGACATGTAGTCATCTTGATAACTAAAAATAGTTTCATCAGATTTATCTGTGTCATGTAGGTTATAAAGAATTTAGGTATTTGGCCAAAGTCTGATTACAGATGCTGTGGTGATAATTCTGAAGAAAGCAATTTCTGTACTGATGCATATATACTGGAAATTCTAAATCTAATAAGAAGATAAAATGAAGATAGATGTACATAACTTAAACTTTATTTATCAAATAAGCACATAGCATGTACAACAAGAATAATTCAATACCAATATTAGATAACGCTTAAATTGTATTATTAACAAAATACAAAATGGATTAGCACACAATTCCATGGCAAGTCATAAAATCATTAGGTTTTTCTTGACATGTTCAGGAACAATAAACTGTGCTCTAAATGACAACGACATTCCTATAAGACTCGATCACTGTGAATTTATAATAAATCCACTTAGGGAAAATGAAACAATAAGAAAAATAAATGACTTCTGAGACTTTTTCACTTACTGAACCAATAAACAGTTATTATTACCACACTAAAGTTACTGTGTAATGCGTGAAATTAATTGAAGATTGGTTAACGTTTTGTGCTTATTTCTTTCTTGATTAAAATCTCAGGATGATGTAGAAGTTCACGAACAGTTAGGTTAAATGCCTTATACACAATTCAAAATTAATCAGAATTAAATCAAAACTCTGTCGTTAATATGATGTAGAATTTGAATGACGTGATTTGTAATCGGTTTACAAAAAATAGTCATGTGCTTTACATGGATTTCAAATGAACCAAACTGTTTTGTTTTATGAGATGAAGATTATACGTGAAGTTTGAAGGTTGAAAATAAGTTTATGTGTTACAAAGTCTCCCATTAATTAAAAGGGATTTTCTGACTACAGAAAACTTCTTTGTGAATAAATTATTCACTTTTTTTCCTAAAAATATTGTACAAAATACACTGTTACATACTGAAACATAGATAAATTATTCAAAACTGTCTTCGTCCAACAAAAATATTTGTAGATTAATCTTTTAAACGACACTGTGCTTAAATTTATCTTATTGACATTTACTGATACTTCAGAAAGTATATCCAATAAACTGCATTGAATATGCCAAATATAATCGGATAAATAATTGCCCATGCACGATCTAATAAGAATGATATATCAACTGATGGTTCTTTTAAAGATGTGCTTTTATGACTCAAAGTTATCAGTTTCTGATGACAAATTATCGGCAGTGAATCCAATGAACGAACTTCACTTTTTTTCGAGGTATTTAGTTCAGGCGAATTAATTAAACTCTGGGAACATTCAGCTTCATTATTCAATGGTTTTAAATCACTTTTGTCATTGTTTGAGCTGCGATTAGTTATCTGGTTATTCTGTTTACTGAGAAAGTCTGATAAAGCGTCACATGTAGTTAAAACCATACAATCTTGCCCAACATATTTTAGGATGTTTGAATTAGCAGGTTTTGTTCTCTTTCTAGCCAAAGAGTTGGTGATGGCAAATTCAAGCAAAGAACTTACAACAAACGCTAAGCACACAAATAACCAAATGTCAATACCTTTGGTATAAGAAACACGTGGAACTTGAGTTAATATTGCTGCACTTTGTGTTATTAAGGCTAAAACACACAGTAGTCCTATAGAAATTCGTGCTGGTACAGCTTCATAATCCACAAAGAACGATAGCCAAGCTATGATGACAAGAAGAAGTGATGGTAAATAGGCATAAATAAGGTAGAAACCGAAACGTCGTTTTAAGTAAAATACAGCTTCTATGCATGAGAATTGTCCAGTAGTTGAGTACTCCATATTACAGTAGTTTGTTTCGTAAGATAATAAATCAAATTCATTAATTTCTAATCCAGAACGTATTTGTACAGCCATTTGTTTCGACTGATTCGACGTTGAAATTGTACCGAATTGATCATATCCATCTGCATTCCACCAACGAAAGTCTAAATCACTTTTTGAATAACCATAACTACCAATATTCATTGTACAATGTTGCGTATCAAATGGAAATGTATGCAATATCATATGACATGACAGTTTCATAGAAATCTTTTGACTAAATGTTATCAAACCATCAGAATCAATCCAAATCAAGTAATTCGGTGTAGTCATATCATGCAGAAATCCATGTTTAGCATTACGAAAAAACAAATCTGGTATCCATATTAAATTCTTTGCATATGATATAGGCAGGTGAGAAAATTTATGTTTGCCAGGAATTTTAAGTCGTGTATCCAACCATCGCTGACGTAACATAAAGTCCACTGTGAAATCCATGTTAACCACACTAATTGAACTGAAACTATGAATAAATGTATTGACTTCAACAATCAATGGTCCGGTGTACAACTTTTGGTTAGACTTAACTTCTGAAACATTGCTAATACTCATCAGTAGTTTATTCCTTGGTCGCTCGGTACGAACATAAGTGATGAGTAATTTTTGTATTTCAGCTTCTAAAGTACTTTCTATCCATTTTGTATCATTAATAAAGGTTGAATTTGTGTGTGATGCAAGGTGGGGGATATCGTGTGCAGAGATTTGACAGAGAAATAGTTGACTTATAAGCGAAAGTAGTTGAAATAAATTATTCATCTTCATGACATTCCAAATCTCAGTAGATGGGAAGAGATTTTTTATTTGACTGAGTCCATAAAGTCACCATCTATCCTTTAAAATACAAAATAATTCACAACATATAGAAGACTGGAAGTTATAAATAACGTATTAAAAATCATATTAAACCATTAATCCAAGTACATTTTATACGAATTCACTGATGCGAAAAGAATAAAATGAAGGACAGTGTGCAAATTATAATCACATCTTACTGTGGACTGGATAATTTGCTGTCAATAAAGAATGCAGTCAAAATATATAAATAGTTATCTAGCTGCTATCATAGCATTCTGAGTAAAATTTAACGTTGCAAAACCACGAAAGCAACACAAAACATTCAGGTGTTGGTTTGTAGCGGTTCGACTGATTACAGGATTTCATCATGAGTTGATATTGGTTAGATAACCATTGGAAAACCTGGAAGTACTGGATAGCTGTTTTATCAGCCTAGTTTGGGACTCTTCATCAGTACGCACCCAACACCAGGGTCGAACCCAGAACCTTCTTGTTATAAGGTGAGCTTGCAGACTAGGTAGGTAGTTACCTAGGGTTCTAGTGAGAAGCCGTGACCAGTTGGGTGCAGCAGGTCGGGTATGAGGACAAATACTCGCCGAAGACACTGGCTAGTGGCCGCGCTGTGTCATGATTTGGCAAAAGTTGGAATTCATGGGCCATTGAATCGGGTCCCAGTGGCTCAGTGGTCTACAAGCTGGCCTTGTAACCACAAGATCCTGGGTTCGAACCCCTGTGAGTGCTTACTGCTGAAGAGTCCTAAACTAAGCTGACAAAACAGCTGTCCAGTACTCCCAGGTTTTCCAATGGTTCATCAACCAATTTCAGCTCATGACGAAATCCTGCAACACAAAACATCACTCCTCATACGTACCATACCAATCACTAACCAAAATACTGGCTTACCCTACCATTGTAATGTAAAGTGCATTTAATGATTTAATGCATAATCGTTTCATTATTTGGTCATTACTAAAATGATTCACTTAGCACCTGCATGGATATTCAATTAACATATTATATTAATAATTGTTAAATGGAACTGTCTCCCGAAGCAGTCTAATTCACAATACTTAAGTATGTGTGCGTTACAACACCTTTGTCGTTAATAAAGCATTTAGCATATATATATATATATATATATATATATATATATATATATATATATATATATATATATATATGACTTGATGTTTAGACCAAATAAACGGTATGTTATCGTCATCTAATCCCTCAAAGTGAAATCATGAAAAGACTATTATTTTAACCAGGAATTTGATAGGGTTGCGTCTTCTGTATTGAGATGGGTGAAGGACGAGAACCAAAATCAAAACAAAAGAGTGTAAAAACAGTAATTTGGTGGTATTTACTAAGTCTATTAGGACTTCGTCTCATTCCTTTAAGTTCTGAGTGGAACATATAGCTAGAAGTTTCAGTGGCGGTGGTGTTGATTTTACGAGGTAGATTTGTTCGCCTCATGTCTAACTTTTCGTCTTTACCCAATCTACTGCTAGAAGTGTATCGGCCGAACACTGAGCCCGGAACATGAACATGTTAAGCCAGCATTCTACCATGTAACCGTCAACGCACACTGTGCTAGAACAGAGCCATTTACTTTTGGATTTAATTTTAACTTGTATGGTCTAGGCAGGCAAATTTTCTTGGATTTAGAGGCAGTCCCATTTAATTGTACTACATCCACATAAACAAATGAACTAACATATACACTATGTGAATTTTCTTTGAGTTTCGGGGTGAACATTTGATAGCTAATGAAGGATCCGAATTGTTGTCATAAGGAAAAAAAGACCTTCTTTATCGATGTATTTGTGATGGAATATCCGGAAGCATATCTCCCTTGAGTCGTAGATATAGAAGTTAGATACTGTTACCAACTCACATTTACAAGTGTTATAAGTTGTGTCAGCTTATATGAATGTAGCTGGATACCCAATGTCCTAACTAGAACATCTCATATGACGATGAGTTTATTGTCTAAACATCTCTGCCCACATACGGCGGCATTAACTAATTGATTTATTGTTGGTAATCTTTTTTCCTATTTGTATGATTCCACTTGATTCAGTTTGAATAATAATAATGATAACTTCTCGGTGAAATCTTTGCCCCAGTCTAACTATCTTCTATTTTCTGTGGATTAGCAGCTCACTAAACAACTTCCACAAGCTAGAACCAAGTTACTTTTCCGTTCTGCACATTGTATACATTTGTAATGAGCTTTTGTCATCACAGTCATCCTCAGTATACATTTCACATCATTTTTCAAATCCATTCGACTAACCACGTTTATCATGTAAACAGTATTTATCCTGTTTCCTTACGGTTCGAACTCACCTGATTTTCAACCTGAAATCATGTTCTATGCTAAAAAATAGTGTTACCTATGCATCTGTTTATCATAATAATGACAGCAGGTTTTATTTCATAATTAAGAACCTGAAAAGAACATGTTTCACTAAGGCAGATAGTTTTAAACTCCAAAGTCATGTATTACTGAGCGTCATTATTCATGTAGCATAAATATACTATGCTTATTTGTTCACCTACAGAAGTAGTTTTCAGCTGCATTATAGTAACATGCTTATATTAGTGAATAGATTTTATCAAAACTTCATTGTCTGGTATTATCCCCTCTTCCTAATCGCATAACAAAATTCTGTGGTAAAAAATACGATTGTTCTGATGAAATTCTCATTTCACCAGTACGATTTATCCACACATTTGCCAACTACCATTATACACAATAAGAAAGTCAGAGGGGCGTAATATAAATGATTCTATTAAATTATTCATTATAGGGTATTATTACGACAATTCGACGGTCGAAATATAAGCCAAGAGAAGAAATAATGTAAAAATTTCAAATATCTAGTCCCTGAATGCTTGAATATTAACCACAGATTCTATATTAATCTTAATATGGAAATGGAATCTCAAAAAGGGAATAAATTATGATTTTTACTCAAAGATTATATCTCCGAGTGGAGTATTCAGAGCACTAGATTTCTCAAAATCACTTCGATTATATTTTAAAATTTACGTATCTTTATGAATCTGCATCGGTAGAATGAAGATAACACTAAAAGACGATAACATTGGTACTTCATTCTTAAATACCATGCGCAATTTGGAAGAAATGCTGAAATATTTTTTGCTAAGCAGTGAAACCAAGTAATAATTCATTATTAAAGTGGGGGTATCACGTTGTTTGACAGAAATTTCAGCAACTATTAACTTCTACACTATCATAAATTCACCGGGATATATATATATATTATTATTATATCCTTAAATTCTAAGAGGGACATAGGGCTTCAGCCGCGAGTCTCCATTGCCTTCGGTTTTCTGCCAACTTTTTCACCCCGCTCCAGGTCTGCCCACATGCTCTCATCTCCTCTTCACATGACCTCCTCCAAGTCACCCTCACATTGACGACCAACTCGCCGCCCGCTTCCCTTTCGGGTTCCACTCGAGCAATGGCTTGTCTAGTGATGTCACTTGATGGTTGGTTTCCTCAGAGTATGGCCAATCCATCTCCATTTCTTCTTGCCTATTTGTTTCACGATCGGTTCCTGCTGGGTTGGTTCGCTCATTGCCAGAGATCCCTCACTATTGCTGATGTTTTCTGGCCGGCCATCTGATCTTGAGTAGTACTGAGCGAAGACAACTGTTGATGAAGGTCTGTAGTTTGTTTGAGATGCTCTTTATGACGCGCTGGCCGAGTCTCTGATCCGTATATAAGCACCGACTGACTTCACATTGGAGTTGAAATAATAATAAATAATAATTTTTCCTTCACGTTCCCCAGTGGGATATAGGGGTTCAAGCTAGTGACTTGAAGTTTCTGTAGAAGTGTTTATTTTTTACAGGATGGGGTTGCTAGCCCCTTGCCCAACATTTCCTCTTTATCAGGATTATTTCTGGCTTAGCGAGGTAAAGGAGTGCGTCTGTGGCCGGAGATCGAACCCCGGACCATGTGCATGGTCGGTGAGCGTCCTAACCGCTATACCACCGACGCAAATCCGGATGTTATTTTTGATGCTGAGTGCTGTTGACCTCCACACAGACTTAAGAGTAATGAAAGCTTGTCTTGCTTTTCCGATTCTGGCATTGATATCCTCGTCAGTTCCGCCCGCCTGTAGTTGAAACGATGCTTCTCAGTTAGGTAGGTAGGTAGGTAGGTAGATAGGTAAAGGAGGTTGTTTCTTTCTAGTTCCTCTCATTTATGCTGGCTGATTGTTGTCTGTTGTTGTTGTTGCTGTTGGTGTTGGCCAGGAATCTTCATCACCTCTGTTTTATCTATGTTCATCTGTAGTCCTATCTTCTCTGGATGCTTCTTCTGCCAACTTGTTGCTTTTCATTTGCATATCTTCCAGTTTGTGAGAAATCAGACACATGTAATCATCCGCGAAGTCCAGATCCTTAAAGATTTTTTGTGTGGGTCCATTTTATGCCTACTTTCTCACTGCCCGCCGCTGTCTGTTGCATTACGCAATCTACTGCAATCAGCAAAATCATTGGTGATAGTAGACAGCCTTGCCTCACTCCCGTCCTCACTTCAAAGTATTGCGTAAGTTTCCCGTTGTGGATTACTTGGCATGCAGCATTGTCGTATAACTGTTGGATGAGATGTATAGTTGTAGATGGCACCCCATAGTAGCGAAGTAGTTGCCAAATCACCTCTCGATCGATACTGTCGAAGTTCTTTCCAAAGTCGATGAAGTTGAGATAAAGAGATAGATAATTACAGTGTTAGTGTATAATACTATGCATACATTAAATGTGCAAATGAAACTTCAAACTAAAGCCAAGACACATGTTTCTGGAGACTATAATATTTAAGCCTTTTCATAAAGTAGTCTTGCCCCGTTAGCCTCACTGTGAGGTGAAGTATGTTATCATTTTCTCTAGTTACATATCAATCTTACTTCCACTATGAATTTCTTACAGTTACATTTTCTGCTGTTATTTTATTATTAATCAATATAAGAACGTATAAGAGATAAAACGTTAAATCT